AAGCGTTTGAACCATCGAGACACCGTGGATTAGTGGACGACGTTGCCCTTGAATGCAGCGCAGATGTTGTCCGCGGCGGCTCTCGCAGAGTGTCCTTGGAGGAACTCGTAGTAGACGATGGGGCGAAGAGTTGCTTCTTCGATAGGAGCTATGGCTGCCAAGTAATGGCAGAAGCCGCCTAATATACCCCGAGGGCAGAAGCTTCGAGAACATTCCAGCATATACAAATGCAAAGCCCCGCCCATCATTCTTTTGAAAAATTTTATAAATAGTTTTAGAAAGTGTTGCCAGACTTTCTTTCCAACCCAAATATTTCTGCCTGACATCATTTCAGCATGCATGAGAACATCATTCATGAGGACTCAGATTTGAATCAAGTTCTCTGAATAATTTTTTTCGCAGAGCGGTAACCGTTTCTGTTATCGCTACACCACTTAATTTATTTCCTTTCGTATGTGAGTCGCAAGACATCTCCCGTTACCCGAGGTCATTCCTATAATTTCATGCTCCCCCAGGTGCGTATTTCTACGTCGGAAAAGGAAGGAACGGAATCCCGGTGCCCCATCCGACTAAAGGATCCAAAGAGTGAGCAATTTCTTTAGTTCCCTTTTTTTTCTAAACCGAGCCGGCTCTGCCATGCCGAGGATGCAATCGGATCTGTGCGATAGGCCCCTGAGGGACTTTCGCGACGAGACCGTCTTCCTGCGGCTGCCTCGGGGGACTTCCATAGAAGACATCGCGTGGTTCGCCATCTACGTCCCCGATCGCAAGGTGTGTCGGTCCGTCTCCGGGTGTCGTTGATGGAAACAGGGAATGGAATCACGTTTTTGCATCACCGGGGTAAAGACCGTAAGGACGTCGCGTTTCTCGAGGATTTCGGAATCAAATATAAGAATGTTCTCGGAAATTCGAAGCCCGATCTTCAGAAAAGCTCATTGGACTACACGATAGGTGAAAAACGAGAGAAATCGGCTCGTCTCGGACGACGTTGCCTCATGCATGATCATAAATATCCAACGATGCTCCATCTCTTCATCGAGACCTGAGAAAAAATACAAGCCATAGGATAGGATTCCTGGAAGCCCACGTGCAAAGGAACGGCCGTTTTCCCCTTGCAAACCAGGAGCGTCTGGCCCACGTGGACATCCCCGGGTCCTTCCAGCCCTGCCGGCTGCCCGGGATGAGAGCACGGGCGCCCTTGGACGGGAGCGGCGCATCCACGAGGGGGCCCCTCGTGGTACTCGACGAGGGATCCATCGTCCTTCCGGGGTTCGCCAGCGGCAACGCCTCCGACATACGCTTCTATCTCTTCGACGCGGAGACCGTCCTCTCCGTTCCGTCTCCCAGGCTCTCTACAAGGTTAGTTTTTTCTTCTCGAACAAGCCTAACTGGTTTTCGAAGATGTGTATGCAGTCGCAGATTCACCTAAAACTAAAAATGTATTGAGGAACTCGTAGAGCAGCATTTCCTCGAGCGAATGTTCAGAATTCCCCTCACTTCCTCAAATTTCCTCAACAATTTTGATCAGTGCGACAGCCCAAGACGTGCTGCTGCGGCTGCCGTGGCCTCGGACGCTCAACGCCACCAGGTTCATCTGGATCTGGTGCCCCCGCTGCCCCGGACTTCTCGGGAGCTTCTATCCTCGGGAATGCTACGATTGCGAGAGCGACTTCTTCTCGGAAGTGACGAATTCCTCGTACATCGTGCCCCTTCTCTACCACTTGGAAAGAGTAAGCCTCTCCTTCTCTCTATATGTTTTCCGCAATTTCCAAACGTCTAAATTCCCCGACTTACCCGTTCTGCAGCTCCGGGAGAAAACTTGGAAACCGACGACGGAGCAATTGGAGATGATCGAGCGGCAACTCCAAACCCAGGAAAGGGAACTGCAAAACCTCACTTTGGCCGAACACCGAGGCGTGCCAATCGACTCAATCCCTGGATTAAGGTTATTAATTATTATTTTGAATATTATTACCTCATGTTATTCATTTTAAAACATTAGTTATATCGTGTGAAGTACTTTTTATTTGAATGATTTAATATTACTGGTTTTAATTAATATTAAGGAAAAATTCAAGACACGTCTTACTAGCACTTGACTGGCATTCAAAGTCGCCGAACTTTCTCTCCAACAAGGAAGGGATTGAGAGAACTCCGGATGAATCGCAGGAATAAGCGCTACGGATGCACGAAGTTGTTTCTCATCCCGTCGTCGGTGGCGCTGGACGTCAAAGCCTATTTCTCGATGGGAGCCTTGCCGAATGACGGCCGTCCCGAAAAGTGAGATATTGACTAAAATATGAATTTCATGGTGAACGAGTTGTTGATGTTCGGTATCCAACAGGGGCTTGAAGAAGAAGATGACGAAGGTAATCGAAACCTGCAAGAAGGCGATACGGATTCCTCGGAGGACACTTTCAAATGTCGATCCCAAGAATATAAATCGTGGATTAGGGTAAGCATTCGATTCACACACAGATGAGGATATGCTTAGCATCAGGTGCACATGCTTAGCATCAGGTGTACGTGATTAGCAACAAATGGGAAAAAACCATGTTTCAGGTTCAACATGGATCGTGACGCTGCTACCAATGCTGCTGATGGTGATGATGACAGCAACTACGCTGTAGATGATGACGTCGACGCATACGTTGATGTTCACCTCAAAGCTGAGGATCTCTCGGACGTGCACGATTATCGGCGACCGGATTTAGGAAAAAGAGCGCATACAAAGCTGTTGGAAATGAGAGAGATCGAACAATGGTTCGAAATGAGGGAGGAAGAGCCGGAATTCGAATGGCGAGAGGACGACCCGGAGTTCGACATGAGAGAGGAGGAGCCGGAGTTCGAGCTGAGGGAGGTCGAACCGAAGTCGGGAATGAGATGAAGCGCGGAGTCCGCATGGGATGGCCGTTCTCTCGCTGGGGGGAGTCGCTTCAGCTCCTCGAGCGTCTTCGCTTCAGTTCCGCGATAGCGTTAGCTCTCTCGCTTAGGTTGTCTAGGAGGAAAGGGGAATGGCTCATCATGAAGAAGTGAAGGCGACAAAGAGATGGGTGAATTGTATGTGGAATTGCAGAGAAATAAAAAATCAGGTTGCATATTTCACTCGCGGAATAATCCGAAGCCTACGACGAGGAAAGACGTTCTCTGGTAGAGATCATATCCATGCATCAGTTCTGACATGCTGACATGCGATAAATCTCAGGAGACGATCTCATCGACAAAACATGGCAATGAAGCCGTTTCACGAGAAGTTCATGAAAGTATGAACGGAAACCCTGCCCTCGCTTTATCTGCAAGCATTTCACCCTGGAAGATATCCGACGTGTTTTCGATGAAGCGAAGTTTAAAGCAGAAATTTTTGCTTACTTCCCGCTGCATCATTGTTGCCTGTTTACTGAATCTTGCTATTGATCGCGCTTCCTCACAATCCTGTGCCTCCACTCTCTGGATTACTAAACCTGAGTCAAACCAAATCCATACGTTAGGTTCCCGTGACGCAATTACTCTGTCAGTACCATCACTTTAAGAAATAATCTATTCCACTAGAATCCAGCTCCAATTTTTTTTTACAGATGGAACCGATATGAATAGCGCTGGCCTCGAATGACTTGCGGCTGCAGTCCTGAGGAGTCCAGATTTTCTCAAAAAATGCTTCTAAAAGGCATAAAATATCTCACATGATATCAAATCCATACAAGAAATTCATAGATTTCTACAAGCTGCTGGTAGTAGAAGGTTTTGGGGACAAATTCCAGACTTAACAGGAATTTACCAGTATAGCGATAACTTTGGCACCATTTAGCGCCGGTTGTGAGATTCTTTGATTTAAATCATTGTCAGATCGATGCCATTGATATGCTTCAGGAAAACATATTAATGTTCAACGAATGTCCTTTAAATGCAGCATGTTTTGTGTTTAAGAGGTACCTTAACTAGCGCCAAAAAAAGTTTTCTTTCGTATGCATTGGATGACAAAAGACCTTTCAAAACTGGCCTGGGCTTGCAAAATCAGTCCCCCCTGGACATGTACCCCCAAAGTCGGATTTTTTTTTCTTAACTCTACGTCCCAATAGCTACTTGTGCACCAACTTTCAGATCTCTAATTTCTCTAGAACGTGGTTAGAATTAGCAGCAGTCAGTCACTATCGTTTGTACGTATTATATGCCAAAATTGAAATTGGTTTGGTGGAACGTCTTCCCCGTCTCAACAGATTCAGTCGAATCCTTGTCAATCAAAATGTGCTTAACCTATCGAGTGTGTGGGACTTAGGACACACGCCCCTTTTTCTTTATTCGTTACAATTTAGCAAAAAATATTATGGATACGTATCTGTGGGGCCAATTTTCTAGAAAGTAATTCCTTTAAATTTTTGTTCACAACCGAAATATATTGTAGGTATTACACTTGTGCCTTATAAACATGTCTCTGTCTGGAGGATAAAAGAAATGTGGGAGTTTTTGGGATGAATTTGAGAGTTGCATTAGCAGGCCCCACATAAAAGTACTCGAATTCGTAATACTAGTAGTTTATTCGGATAGGAGCATTACTCCTATTTCCTCCTAACGTAACTTCATAGCCAGTGCTTTGCTCGCCAGTGAAGGTGCATTAAAAGATGCTTAGCCAAATGTTACGGGGTTTCCTGGAAGGAAGATACATCGGACAGTTGGGGCAACCGGCGCACCACTACCCGGACACGCCGCTGATTCAAAGTCATAATGTTGTAGCCTTTTCTCCTCTCCCTGGATTCATCTCGCAATGGGAATCATTCCAATAGGCATGCCACGAAAAGTATTAGCATCCTTCATTCTCAATGATTTAATTCATTCTTGCGTTATGAGTCAGGAATCTTTCATTGTGCGCTGACGTAGAGGATTAGTAGCGGAAAAAAATATATCCCCACCGAATTCCGGAGAATATTGTCGCAATTTCGGTCTCCAACGACTTCATCAAGTGGAAGTCTCACGACCTGTCGTCATCCCATGGCTTATATCGGCCATGAGGGGTCATGAACATCAACTCCGTAACTACAGCGTTATCATTATCCTACCACATTTCTCGATTGCGCTAAAAATAACGGATTACATGTAATCCGTAATACCAAGCAACCGCAGGTGAAGAAACATAGAAAAAGTCGTTCCTCTGGCTTGTCCATTTTCTCATGGAACATGAGAGTTGGACCTAGACGAATGGCAGTTGCTTTGAATCATTCGCGTCATAGGAAATGAAGACGCGTGCGTATTAGGTCTTGAACGACAAATGGAAGGCGCTGCCACGTATCTCGGATGAAGACAAGCCCAGCAATTCTCTCTCCCCCTAGCCTCATTCCTTGTCAGTGAAAATTCTATATTCTGGCATACACCTTGGACGGATTTTCCACGACGGTGCTGCCTGTGAAACAAAACCTTAATGAGGAGGCTGTGAAAGAAGTGGTCGCCACATTTTCTGTTAATGACAAACATATTACTTCCGTACGTAGATGGATCTATTCCGCACCCATACCTGGAAAAAACACGATGCAAGAGAATTGTGTTATCTGGGAAATTTTACCGTTGGGTCACTTTCTGCACTCTGGTCTGATTCCGCGGAGTCGAATTTCGTAGCGTGGCAAACTTGAAGCATTCCTTTTTGTTCGACAATAGAATATTATATTTTTTTCACGAATCTTGTTTTGTTCTCCAGTTTCAATATGCTTTCCATTCATGTAATATTAATCCGTACTTCCGGAAAGAAAGTACTGAGAGCCTTTTTGAGAGGCCTTGTACGAGGGTACTGATTGCATCCCGTTATCAATTACCAGGCATACCTGTGTTCCGTTGCCTGATAAGGAGTTTCCTGTGGAGGGCTTGGTGTGAGATATTAGAAGGCGATGATCATTCTACCCGAACCATCATATTCTTTCCCTATGTGCTTTCACCCCAAAATCTGAACTGACATTGAAGTGGCTCGGGTTCCTTTTCTGCTGGCGGCATTCACCAACGGCAAGTTTGGGGTATGGATACCATAGCCTCGCAGAAGCTTAATTGCCTGAAGCTTCTTCTGAAAGAAAACAAGATCAACGAAGATGTGTTCCTGGATAATTTGACGAAGAAAGGTCTCATTACTCAAGCACAAGAAGGTGACGCGAGAAGGAAACCAGAATACGCCGACAAGATTAATTATGCTTTCGGCATTCTCGTACACCATGATCCGCTGAAGGCATGGAAACAGGTAGAAAGTATCCTGAAAAGCATGGGCTGCGAATACATCATTCAGAAGGTCGAAGAAGATGAAGATGTGGCCAGTAAGTATCTCCAACTGTTTTATCTTAGAGAGAACAATGATTTCCAGCTCTTAATCAGCTTATAAAATTATTTCGGTTGAAGTTAATGACCAGCCATCGTTTTCCAGATAAATGCCTCTCTTGAAACAGTTTCCGAGGACATACTATTGGCAAAGAATTCACCTTACGAAAACGCGTACCGGAATTAGGCCTTCCGGCAGGATATGGCGCTCAAGTACCTGTTGAGCGGAAAGTGTGGGATACATCTGTTATGATTCTCTAATTTAAAACATGTTTCACACCGTTCACAGGGTGGTTTTATGTGCTGGATACGTACTCTCTCGATAGGTCCTTACAAAAAAGTACTAAAGGATTCCATGCGATTTTTCGAACAAAAATATCATAGGGTTCCTACAGGATTCCTTAATGAACCTGTTATATCCTAAACGAGCTTAAAAGGACCATATACGATTCCTATAATATTCCTGTTATATTTTTAAGTTTAACAATTCTCATAGGATCCCTTAGGATCTTTTTGTTGAGGACCAATTATAGGGTGGCAGTCTCTAAGAAATACCAGAAGAAATGTGATGCATATAATGAAACAAGTACCTCATATAAACTTGTAATTTAGTTCAAAATGTTCCCTAGAGTTTTCTTGAAGTGCTTAATGGAGTATTTCTCTTCCCATTCCTTTGCAGACCTATGCAGGAGAACCAAAACAGTAGGAGCTCAAATTGGGTGCTCTCTCTCTTCATCGTCTCCTGTTCCTCCCGAGGATGAGCGCAAAATGGCAAGTGTATTCCTCATTTATAATCAAAACATATGATTCGTAGGAAACATATTAACTTGTGAACCTTTTTTTTCTTCAATTCAATGGCGAATTGACTCTCTTTGTAGAAAGCAAGAGGGTAACTGCCATGCAATTTATCTTTCCGGCAGTTGCCAATAAATGTTGTTCCTCAGTTCCATTTTAAAAATTTGCAGGCATGCTCGAATCGCTCATTTTCTTTTACAACATTAGTTATGTTGGACCATAATTTCTATGTCTTTTTGCATAAGTGAACATGTGTAGTGAGTAAAGGTTTCCTTCAATAGAACCCAAATTCTTATTACAAGAACACATAATTCTATTTCCATGGATATACGAGGACTGTTCAATAAGCTCTTTAAAAACTTGGGTTCTTTTCCTCAAAGAAGTTTCTAATTTAAAAATCCCACGACTTGCATCGAAGCTGTCTTCCTAGAAGTTTCCAAAGTTTTAGACCCGTTCCGTGCGTTACCAGAATATTGTTTGGTTTTTCACTGTGACCAGATATGGCGGACTTCCCAAAACAAAACGTTCGCTTGTACATTTTTGCCCGACAATAGCTGGGACGGGTTGCAACTCTAATCAAATCGGATCTGAGTGCCTTCATGGGGGAATGCTCCCCTTCAATAACGACGATTCGGCGTTGAATGCGGCGCTTCACTATGAGGTGTCGCTTCTTTGCAGATGAGGATCGTGCCGGGTGCCCACCAACCGTGGTGGACCAGGACACAATTGCCCTTTGTCGAAACATAATCGAGGGCTACACAAGAACAGCCTTCCGTTATTTATCCTCAGAGTTGGATCTTTCCGATGTTCTGGCACCACCTATTCTATTCTGCATGATCATCACTATCATCGTTACTGGTGATAATATACGTGATCCGGCGTGATCCGTTTTGAGCTACTAGGCCCAAACATGTCAAGCATTTGATGACTCATTTCCACCCTGGTATATTTTTCCTGGTCACTCAATCGATGAAAGACCCAAAGGGGGC